TTCAGTGCCAATCGGAGGGCTCAGCTGTGAATGTGTTGCATCTGAAGGGGCATGCCTCGAACGTGAAGCACGTGTAGTCCCCGCAGAACACTATCTAGAGTGTCCAAAGCACCCATGCACTTCATATTTCTGCGGATTTGATAGATTGCGATTGGCAGTGTCACTTTGAGCCACTGCATAAATTTGGAGAATCATGTTAACTTTGGGCTTGGCTGGATGCTTTTCCTCAAGAGCAACGACCTATTGCAGAACTGACTTGGGGCAGCTTCGGGCGGGGCTTGTCGATCCGGGCGTGCGGCAGGTGGAGGTGAAAGTGGCCGGCATGCCTAGGAGCCGAACAATTTGCGCGCTCTGCGAGCGAATAAAAGGGTCGGTGTCAGATACTCAAGAACGGATCGGTTTCCCCTTTGAGATGACCCTCTTTCCAACGACCACGGAAGTGGACAAAGGGCTTCCCCAAAAGGAGAGGTAGTCTTCCGAAACCCTTCTGTCAGCTTCCAAGAATGAGACACCGAGAAGAGCCGGCGGAACGTATCTCAAAGAGAATCGGCATGTTCGGTCCCCTGAAACGCCCGGTTTCCCCCTCGGGGACCCCAAGGAAACAGAATTGGAGCCATGAAAGCTCCATATGGCTGTGGTTGTCAAAATCGTTTTTGGATCCCATTTTGGTTGGTAGGTGAATTCACCCCTGTGGTTGGATTGGGATGTTCACTGGGGGCTAACCGGGTTTGGACCCATGGCCATATCTGAAACTACGGAGCAGCCTAATTTGAGAAGAACCCAGTTGGACGCACAGGAAAGTATGGTCCACCTACGACTCGATTCGCCAGGACGTGGAAGATAGTGAACGCTGGGGACCCAGCAGAAGCCGATATGAGCAATGGGCTCAATAGTTAGCATCATCTACATGCTCCACTGCAGTGGCAGGGACGACATTGGCTGCATTGTCACACTCAAGAAGTTTCAGCTGGAAAACGGGTGGGTGACTCATCAAACTCCAAATCATAAGGCGTCATAAGGCCAGGATTTCGCGCATCGAAGTTTGTCGTCAATGCCTCGCGGTTCATTTGGCTGTGGGTCAAAACTAACGGGATCCCATTTTGGGGCTTTCGGTGCACCAACATTTCAGAGCCTATTTTCATGGTTGTTGTTGGGACACATTTCACATTTTTGCTTATTGTGGTTTAGTGGTTGAAATCCAAATCCACTTAACTTCTAAAATTTGAAGATTTTTGCTCCACAAACCCAACGTCAACCAAGTTTTAGTGGTTGGATTGAATCGGATGTTCACTTGGGGCTTTGCGATTTGGATTTTGAAAAGCCCATGGCCATTTGCCAGGGCGCCAGGGTAGTCCAGGGATGGATGTCAGAAGCTCCGGAGGCGATAGACGTCCTTTTGATCGGTCAGTTTTGTTAAAAATGGAAGGGTTCCACTGGTTTGGAGGGGTTTTATGGCCCATGTACCAGGGGGAACCCAGCGATTTTTCGGAAAAAGAGCACCTATGTCCTATCCGAGGTCTTACTGGTACTTGTGCCGAAGATGATGCTCTGGGAGATGACAGCCAGACGGGAGCTGAGAGGCTGAGAGGGAGAGGCCGTAGGGCTGAGAGGAGGGAGTCGGCTTTTGGTTTCTGCGAACTGAGTTTCTGAGTTTCTCGAGATGTCGAGAAGGGAAAGCTTGCTGGGAACCTGAAGCACAAGCCGGTTTCCACGTGCTTTGGGCCTCAGGCTTTGTGTTTCAAAGTCTTTGCGATCCAGCGGTTTTATTGGATGCCACATCCCACTGTCTCGATCCCCTAGCACGGATTCACGGATTCCCAACTCCCGCGCGCTGGGACTCGGTTTGTCTCAAATGCTGAGTCTTCGTTTTGGTGCTCCCTTAAGCCAAGGTCGAGGGGGGGTTGCCCAAGTTAAAATTGAAACCACTCGGCGCAACGGCAAGTCGCCCCTTTCACGTGCCAAGGCACTGGCATCAACTTCCTGATGGAGACCGGAGGCCCATCAATTGTCTGGCTCAACGAGGGGTCTCTATATAGAGATACGCATGCTTTGGTCTTTGGTTCCATTTACCCAGGTGCCATTTTGGTACACGTTTTTCGAACCACGGCCATCCTTGGTGGTTTTCAACATCACCTTCTCGGCCATCCTCGGTGAGGGGCTGTGACATGGATTCCCCCAAAAAGGGCGGCGGGAGCTACCGGGGAAGGGGGGGAGGGCTTGCTGGCGGGGGGGGGGGGTTACAACGGAAGACTCGGGAAGCGTATGTGTCAAACTCAATCGAGATTTGGGCTGTTACTTAAGGGGCTGTTACTCTCAGCTTGAGCTCCAGCTCGAACTTTTCTCCAACTCGGTTTCGACCTCTTCAGTTTGAGACACGGAGGATCGTGGGCCAAACCAAGCCACTTCTGTTGTAGGCATGTGTCCTTCTTGAGTTGCGCTTTGTCCCAACCAAAAATAATGTATCCTTCTATGTCTGGTTTAAAGTCGGCAAACTTGTCCCAAGAAGAAACAATTGTTTCACTGACTCAGATTTTCGTAGGTCATCTCCGGCTTCATGTTTCACGCATATTGGGGTTGATCCAAAGGTCCGTGATACATGGGATGACCATTGGGGAACTACAAAAAGGCTGATATTTCCATCATGGGACAAGTCCCACATGTTCATTTGAGGGGAATATTGATCAACTCCCTATGGGTGTGCCTGTTTTTAAGGGGAACCACACATCTCCACCAAAAAGGGGTACCAACTCCAATGTTTTGCGCCCACTGTTTTTCCGGCATCCAACTTGTCGACTTTTCCTTTGGGCCCCAAAACTCTTCCCACCCCCCGCTAAAGCCCGGCTTCCCCGCGTTTCGTCTTTCGCCCCGCGTTTCGTTCGGCCGACGCGCGCGCTTGGCGCTTCGAAGCGCCGAAGCCGCGCCGAAGCCGCTCCGCGCCGCGCCGCTCAGCGCGGGAGGCATCGACGACATCATCGTGAACTCCGTGGCGCTGGGCTTCATGCTGCAGCTGGACGAGGTGCTCACCGACGCCATGATGAGTCGGGAGGCGGATTCGGGGAGGGAAGGAAGCGAGGCGGGGAGGCGGAAGGAAGCGGAAGCGAAAAAAGAAGCGGAGGAGCAAGGCGGTTGAGCTCGGGTTTGGAGTTTGGGGCCTCTTTTCTTTTTCTTTTGTTTTTGTTGGTTTGGGTTTGCTTCATCTGGGGCAGTTTGGGGCTTGGGGTTTGGGTTTCACGCGCGGCTTTACTTCCCTTGGAGCTATGTGTCAAAATGAGCGAAAGAAATGGCCCGAAATGGCCCGAACGGGCGGCTTTGCGGTTGGTTTCCCCCTGCAAAAGACGCCTGCAAAAGGTGCGCGCAGAAGCACTGCTCCATTGCTTGGGATCCAAGATGGGGTCCTTTGTACCCTCGGTGCTTTGGACATTACCTTCTGACACCGTTGGGATATTGGTTGACGTGGTTCGTTTCTCTTCTCCTCTGCTTTACAACCTTGAACTGAATTACCCAGATCCAGTTTTGGGTGGTTTAGCATCACCTCTTGGCCCAAACTGTGAATGCACGGCCATTTTGGCGGAGGTGAACGTCCTCCTGGACGAGTGCAAAGTGCGGCGCTCAGAAAACGTCGCACCTCAACAAGGTGGTTGATGCCTCTTGTTCCGCATGGTGTTGGAACTAGACCCTAAGGAAACGAGGCCTTTGGAGAGCCTCCAGAGCTTCTGGACAGCCGCCCTTTGGCTGCGTGGGCTTCTTGCGGCCCTCCCGAGGACTATCCCTTGTTCGATGAGGGGGAGGTGCAGACGCGCAACGATGAGGAGACTCTGCCCGCGGCTCAGACACCGCTTTCGAAGTCTGGGAGTCTACATCCATTGGGCTGTGGGTCAAAATCCCGATCCCAAACCCCACTAGAATAGACTAAAATGGGTGGTGCAACTACCCCAAAATGGTACCGTTGGTTTTGACCCACAGCCATTTGGGCAACGACCCCTCAAATGACCCACGGATGCGGTCCCTGAGCTACTCACTTGTAAGCCGAACGTTTGAGTGCCCCAGTTCCTCGAGAGAAGCAAGACAGGGACTGTGTCCAAGCCCCGCCCGTGACGGCGATCTAGGAAGTCGCAGCTTGTTGAGACTCAAGCTCTTGAGACTCAAGCTTCTTGAGGTTTCGCGCTCTACCAATTGCGCGCAATGCGCCAAAAACCGATGGGCGAACCGGAGCCCAAGGAATACAAACAATTGCGATCCGCCGCCCGATTGGGCGGCGATGGTCCAGGGGCCTGGAGCGGACGTAGACAGCTTTGCGCCATGCACGGGCAGTCTGGAGGCGTGTGCGCTGATGAGCAAAAATCGGCATTTTTGCGCCGTGTATGGCTGCGGGTCAAAAATGGGTACCCAAAATTTAACCCTGGTAAACGGAAATGTGAGCTAACATCTGTGGTCCCTTGGTGGTTTAATTTTGACCCCCAGCCATATGTCTGAAGGTGCGCATGCGACGGGGTGCGAAAGGCAACGCGCGGAGCGCAATAGGATGCCGACGCCTCCAGAAGCAGATGGCCAAGCTGTGACTTTTGCTTAGGCCCACCGAATTAACACGTTCAATGGCCCTTGGATGAACGCAAGATGACGCGTCTCACCCGAAATCCGTTGTTGCCCCTTCCACTTCCTCCAACTATATTGCTTTTTAATGCATATGCTGCCCATATTTCCCCCTTTGGGCTCAAAACAACAACAACATTTGCAGGAACGACATGAAGAAGTCACGGTAACGAGCATGAAGGGTCACCCCACCCCGCCCCACCCGCACCCCACACCATCCCCCCCACCCCATTCCACCCCACCCCACCCCACCCCACCCCACCCCACCCCACCCCACCCCTTCCCACCTCACCCCCACCCCCACACCCCACCACACCCCCACCGCCCCCAACCCCACCCCACCCCACCCCCACCCCAACCCCCATTTTGCGTCGACCGAGGAACAAACTGGAGGCTCTGAAGCCCAGCAGCCTGCGCCTGGCCTGGGAGCTGATCCCCCGGTCCCTGGCGCCTCGGATGCCTCGGTCGGATGCCTCGGATTTGGATTCGGCGGCGAGGGACGTGCGAGTTTTCATCGGCGGGTTTGGGTGAAAAATTGAAGGGCGCCACTGGTTTGGAGGGGTTTGGTGGCCCATTTAGGGACACCCGGGTAATTATTTTTCGGAAAAAGGCCGCTTTTGTTTGGGTGTGGGTCCATATCAAATCACCAGGAAGTAGACTGCTGATTGTAGTTTCCATTTACCAGGGTCCCATTTTGGGTACCGATGTTTGACCCACAGCCATTTGCCTGGTTCCGTTGGTCGGAGCCCCCCAAGGAATTTTCAGGTGGCCATGAAAGGAAGGAAGAGCGTCCGCACTTTTTGCGCCGGACCTGCGGCGAAAAGCATTTCATCCCAAGAAGGATGTCAAAAACAAGTTTTTGCCGACAGGGTGCTTGCCAGCTTGAGAGGAAGCAATACAAACTATCAAGTAGTCACACCCTCTTTCCAACAATCATGGAAGTGGACGTTTTGGGCCTTCCCCAAAAGGAAAGTAGTCCTCCAAAACCCTCCTGTGAGCTTCCATGATTAGAGGGAGGGTAAGCCTTAGTTGTTTTCTTGGGGCCCGCAACATGGCTCCGCTGTTCCCTTCTCAGAAGAAAAGCAACTTCGTGGGCGATTTGGGTCGGTCATGGTCGTTGTTGGGAACCATTTTACATTTTTGCTTATTGTGGTTTAGTGGTTCAAATCCAAATCCACTTAACAGCTAATTTTTTTGCTCCCCAAACCCAACGTCAACCAAGTGGTGGTTCGGGAGTTCGGTGAAACCTCTAGTTCTTGCAGAGGGTGGACGGGAAACCACTCCCGGAACACCTCCAAAGCACCAAGCCGCTTAAACCACCCAAACTGCAGGGAAGCTGAAGAATGGCGAAAGGTGTTCCTTTTGGGTTTGCCTTTTTGAGACCACGAAGAAGTGGGGCCACAAATCGAAATGGTCCAAGCTGAGGGTGAACCTTTCAAGATGGGGTTGAACCGTTCCAAAATGGGTGGGAGCCCATGCTTTACGGCACTCCCCTGACAAAGAAAACAAACAAACAAAAAAATGGGAACCTCAACGAAGGCACACCCAAATGGTCCCCTAAAAAATATTGGTTCCCTTCCGGTGTCGAGAAACACCTGTCAGGGTGAACCTCTCAAAACGGGGTTTGGCGCTTGAAGCCCAGCGGAAAGCCGTGCCTCTGGGTTTGGGGTCCCCGAAATGGTTGGGAGCACGAACCAAGCAGGGGTTCGCTATTTTGAGCCTGACCCCCACATTTCCCATCCAATCGTGGCGCGTCCTGCACGCATGCAAGCAACGCAAGCGGACGCGCTTTGCTGGGCTTTGCCCGGCCCAGCGGCGGAAGGTGCCAAAAAACCACGAAGCAAAAGGAGGATTTGGAACTGTTGACGTTCGGGGAGAAGCACGTCTATCATCTTCTGAAATTAACAAAGGCGATCAAACTGCTGCGTGCCCAGCTGACAGCTGACTTGCAAGAACTTTGAGCGATCTTAGGCAAAATGCCGTCAGGCCAGACGCCGGAAAGCGGATCATAGCGCGAAAATATGAACATCTGACATCTAGAGCTTGAAGAGGCTCGAATTTTGGCATCAGCGCGGAGGCTCTTACAGAGTGCGGGCACCGAAACGTGCTTCCCGGAGATGTTCTTTAGTAGAAGTTCTGTGGGCCTTCCTTGAAACAAACGCTCTTTTTTGGCAATGGGTGTTTTCGAGCATTGTGTGGCTTCTGGAAGATGAGTGTTTTCTGCCAAATACAGAATCGCTCCTCGAACATGAATGTGCCTGCAAACACGCGTTCCAAAAGGAAGCTGCTTGCGGCATGCTTGTGTTTCAACATGGGGTGTTGTAAGCCGATGGGCTGAATTATATTACGTACACGTGTTTTCTGAGACTGGATTGACTGGCTGCATTTTCGTAGATGTCAAAACGGACCCGAGCTACGACTAAATGGGTTCGTACAAGGGAAACATTGAAGTGGAATAGGGGAAACCACAAAAACAGAAGGCGAGTCTTAAAAAGCGAAGGAACCCTATTGTACATTTGGCAGCTTTTGCAGGGCGTCAGCAGGTCTTGAAACAAAGCCCTTTTCGCAAACATTTGGCTTTGCAAATCTAGGTCCCCCAGTAGTGCCCTTTTACCCTTTTTTGGGGCAGGAAAAAGGGTACCCTTATTCTAGCTTCTCTAGTGGAGGACCTAGACATAGTGACTCTTTTGAATTACAATAGATGAGAAGCAACCGGAAGAATGCGGGAAGAGACTACAAGATTACATGGCCAAAAGCCCTCGAACACGAAAGCGGCTCACCTGGAATAAAGACACGGGGAGCAGGGTTGGCAAGGAACACGTTTGCCGTTGCTCGGACAGCTGCAGTGCTGCCACAATTCCAGGTGCTGGCCCTTTTGCTCCTGTTCTATTATGTCTACCGTCGCCAGGCAGCAAGTAAACCTCAATGACACACAAGGCATTCTTTCAATGCGCGTTATTTTGATGTCCGGTTCATTTTCTTTTCCCATCCCCACATTGACTTTGCACTTGCCGGAGCCTTTCAGCAACAAAAGGTGCCCGGGAGCGTTTTGGCATATGAGTTGAGTTGAGGTTTCGAGCCCGACTCGTCGCCTTCCGTCACCTTCAGGTACAATTTGTCACTTTCACGCCGGCTTCGGCATGCCATGGACAAGCAGCGTATGCTTCTCATGTTGTGTTCCTCTGAGTTGTCAATGCAAGCCCTGGCTGCACCTGTGACGCTTCGGACGCCTGATGAAGCTCGGCACTTCACTCGGAAGTGGTCTGAAGTCTTATTGCTCCGCCTGAGGCTACTACACTCTCCATTGTGAGTTTGTTGACGGCCGGTGGGTGTCAAAGGAGCCAAGGGAGGTCGTGGGAGCCAGATTAGACTGATGGTCAAGAAGGCAACCTTTTCTGTTTTTAATTAAGGGGGGGTTGATCAAAATTCCCTTCGGGCCCCAAATGACCATGGGCAACTTTTCCCATGTGGGAAGTATCATCTTTATTGGGGTGCTCCCCAATGGTCATCCCATGTAAAGGACCTTTCTGATGGCCTTTGTTTTTTTGGCTCAGCGATCCAGTTTTCCTCGGTTCAGTCTAGGAACCTTCTTTTCGATGAGCGGCGGAAGTCTTGTCGCAGAAGTCGATCTTTCACTTTCGCGCATCAACCGGTCATGGTTACAGGCGCACATACTAAAGATGGGCATTTCGAAGCCTAAGCGCTTGACAACTCCATTGTTTGAAGACGGCAGTCGCTGACCAGCGAGCGTCCAATGATAGCTCATCCATCTCATTGTTTGGGCTGCAACTTCAATGAGTCACCCCGTGACGCAACTGCATGCAGCCATGGAGCATTTTCTTGGACGTTCAAGTCACGAACAGGATTCAGCTTTGGATTCCCTTGTTTCAGGCCCTTGCTTTGTTCGCGCCTTTCTTCACGGACTGCTGCATTCGGAAGGCACAGAGCGCCTTAGCAGAATGACCAGACCAGTCAACAGTCATCCAAGAGATGGGCCAAGCGAAAGCGGATATTTGGGGGATCATCCAGAAACGAGCGAAACAGCCAGTGTGTATGTTTATCCATTGCCACCTGTTTGACTTGTGTTTAGCCGCGCCGCCAGCAGATAAATGCACCATGACATATTTGTCTTTCTCACTTTGGTTGCTGTCGCTGTCAACTTTCCTCAGCAAGTGAATGGCCTGGGTAGTATACATGGGTATACCGGTATCATAGTGACGTTTTGGTGCTTCTGGGACTGATGATGCTGGAATTCCTTGCAGGACATGCACTTGCCAACCTCCCTCACCTTCTCAATCGTGCGGGCGCCCAGGTGAAACTGCGCCTCGCGTGCGCTTTGTTTTTGTGTTTCTTTGGCTTCTTATGGGTTTGTCCTTTTTTAGTGGACCTGGCACAACGGTGGGTTTCCTTTTGGTTTCCCTTTAAAACCAAAAAGGGGTACCCTCAAAAACAGACGCGCCCTTACCTCGACAGATCACCTCGGTTTTTCACCAGGCTGGGCGGCTTTTGGGGGTATCGCACTTGCGAAGTTTCCGGGCCCACAGATGTAGATTTAGCATGGCCTACGCCCTGCACATTCGTATGGCATGGTGTTTCTTGTTGTATCTGGGTCTATTTGCCTTTGGTTTGTTTTAAAGAGAAGCCAAAAGGAAACCAACCGTTTTGCGGGGGGGGGGGGGGGAATTAGAAAAAAAGGGACACACCCTTCTATCTCGAGTTGAGTTGGGGGGCTGAAAAGCCGACATCTCCTAGGCGAACTCCTTCCTGGGCCGCTTCTTCCCGGTGAATGCAGCAGAGCAGCCTTACTGGTCCTTTGGTGGCTGACGCGCAGAAGCGCAGAAGCGCAGATGCATGGAGCGTTGGAGCATTGCGTGAAAGGAATGCTGCGAATGGGGACGGCCCCAGAGGTAAGGGGCTGGATGTTTTGGCCCGTGCTTGTTCTTTGGGTACGGAAAACGCCTGAGGACCGGTGCAATGAGATGAGTTGCTGGGAGAAACCTTGGTCTGGGGGGTTGCCAAAAAGGCGACCTGTCATTGCCGGTTTGAAGGGGGCGCGGGGGGGGCCAAAGCGGACCACACGTTTGTCAACCCACCTGGACATCACCTGGAGCTCCGAGGCTGTAGCTGGCTTATTTGTCGATCGAGCCTCCGGGAAAATAGGCTCGACTTTTGGGCGAAGGGGGGGGACATGGGTCAAAGTTGAACCACCAGTTAAGACCGCAGGCTTTAGTCCATGTTTCCATTTACCGGGTTCTATATAGGGGTTACCCTATTTTTGACCCACAGCCCACGTGGTTCCCAGTGTTTCCCGGAGTCCGGATGCTTCTTAAGCCCTCCCCGGCAGCCCAAGCCTTGTACCTGGCTCCTGAAGCCTTCTTCCAACGAAGCGGCTGGAGACAACCTGCACGGCAATGCTCACTTAGACGGCTTGCGGGCAACCAGGGCGTTGTGGCTTTGGCTTCTTCGTTTGCTGTGGCAATGGAAAATAATGTGTTCTGTCTCATGTTCGAATGTTGGCCTTGTGGAAATTGAGGAAGACAAGTGCAAAGGCACAGGTGTCCTCCAGATGTGCCGGTGACCGGCGTTTCTCCTTTTGCAAATTTGAACGAGAGTCGGTGCGGCAAAAAGCAGCGTGCGCCTGGTTGTTTCAGAGCACAGTTGTCCGTATTCGACCGCGCGTTTTTCGGTTCTTGCTGAAGCATCTGAAGCTCAGTTCGGTCTTTGTGGGCCTTTTCCGGTATGGTAGGCCCCGGAGTTCGGATTTTCTTTCTTCGTGCGGCGTTCTCTCGACATCGGGACTCGAACGCCTAACCCTCAAGGCTCGAAGGCCTGGAATCGGTCAGCCGCTCGCGTCGGGATCCGGAAGCAAGGCCTGGCGTCGCTGGCAGACCGAGGATCGTCGAACCGTGTGGAGCTTGCGGCGACGCGAAGCACACATGCCACGCTGAAAATGGGCTTTCTAGAGCATTCGTGCGAAGTGGTGTGGGGATTCACTGAATTGAGAAGCGCACTGCTCTTGCTTGAGAGCAGTGTGGGCCAGTGTTCTCGGAAGGCATCCGCGGCTGTGGAATGCTGGATGTTTCGCAGCCTGCGACCTGTGTCGGAACTGCTCGCCCAGCTGTCTCAGCCCCCAAAGAAGCGGCATTTGGCTTGGAGTTGCCTCGCCTTGGCACTGAAGGTGCCGCAGCGTAGCAGTCGCAGGAGTCACAAGATTCGAGCATACCAGTCGCATCGACCGCTGCGAGGCCTAGATGCAGCTTCACGGCAGAACTTGCTTCAGAAACAGTTTCAACGTTTTGTTGCCTCTCTCTGATGTGTTTTCATGCGTGGCAATCAGAACCTTATGAACAGCCTTGCTGTTCATGATAGAGATTTCCTAGCCAACTCGCCCAGCGATCAGATTCCAAGAGTCCCTCGCTTTCACATCCCCAGCCGCTGAAAAAGCGCTGGACTGCTCTGCCTGCCTCCTGCGGCGCCAAGTTGTGCAACGTGCTCGCATCCTTGCGGTGGAGCTTGCATACCATCAGCGAGGTTGACGTACTTCCGTGCTCAGACGTTTAGTTGACCCGCCAGGTCCGCGACAGGTTTCGGCACACCGGGCGCGCAAGGCGTTTGCGCAGGCGGCCTGGGCTGCGGCAGGCGGCCTGGGCTGCGGCAGGCGAAAAGAGCTGAGCCAACCCAACCCGGGTCGGGCAGGGATGCGAACGAGTCTCGCGGCCACTGCGCCCCCGGGTTGCGCTCCCGGGCTCCACCAGCCTCAAGCGCGCCCCGGAACAGGTCAACCGCCACAGGGAGAGTCAGTGCAGAAGAGGTACGAACAGCCATGAGTCAATGAGTTGCCTGCCGCGCCCGCAGCGCTGCTCTTTGTCGGCTCGGGGAAACCAGGACGCCGACGGTCGCGCGTGGCACGTTTCCCACCTTGGCTCTGTCTGGCGCAGTTTGCGTGCTTAGGCACGGCGCCTTTGCGATGTTGCTTGTCTTCTGTGTCATCATGCGTTGCCCATGGAGTGCCCGATTCTTCGGGTGTGCGCGCTCTTCAGGCCAGCGCCCCTTCACCGGCCAGAAAGCTGCCTTGTCGCGGCGACGCAGCCAAGTGGGAACGCACCTCCGCCCCCGTGAGGCGGAGGTTGAGGCTCGGCCGCTTGCAAGGACCAACAACTGCGTGAGCCTGCTCCCGGAAGTTGGGCGAAACAACTTAGGCAAGGGAACGGGCCACAAGCCGACGAAGGAAGTCGCCGACAACGTTTGGTATTGAGCTTGCATATCAACGTTCCCCAACGCAAAGCGAGGGCTAACGCCGCCCGGCCACCCCCTTGACACTTTGCGCGGGCTTTGCCTGAGCAGCAGAGGCTCGTTGCCCTTGGACCAGCCCAGAGCTTTTTGCAACACAGCCAGTGTATTAAAGGTGGGGGGTAAGGGTGCTTTGGAACTGCTGCTGCTGTAACGGCTAAATGCTTCCTAGACCTTCAAACGCCGGGATTTTTTAAGGTTTTTGGAGACCCATACGATTTAACGAGTTCCAGCGGTTTAGCTATAACTGGGCACACATTCGGTTGGCGTCGTTTCCAGTAGCGCGTTGGCCATACGAACCTCAGCACTTGCCAACGTGCCATGGAACACCACGGGATGTCTTAATCATTCAAAACTACGACTTCTTCTGACTTGTGCGAGTTTGGTTTTGTTGCGGGAGATTTACAAAAATGGGTACGGTTTTCTGCACGGCACAAGTTTGAACCCGCCTTTCATGACTTGCCGGAGGGCGAAGGTCTAGGTTGCAAGGCATCAACCAGTTGTGGCACATCGAAGACAAATTTGTCACTTCTAAAGAGGTGCCGCTGGCATCACGGAAAAAAAACCCACTCTTTGGAGAAAAAAAATCCGCAACCGCCGTGGCGGCGAGCCCCAGTTTTGCGCAAATGCTAGGTTGACACAGCCATTTGGGCGTGCCTGTTGCTGAAAGTGGTGCGCCTTTTTGTTCGGGGGAGGCTACCGGGAAGCAGGAAACTAACCAAATGTTTAGCCAAATGTATGAGTTCCACGCCAGCAACTATAGGTGCCGGTGTGTAGGATACCCTTTTCTGGAGCTTTCAGGGAGTCCTTCTCGCTTTCTTGTTTTTGGGGCTGGTCTCGAAACACTGCGCACTTTTTCCCGCTGGCGCGAAAACATCCAGGCAGGATGTGGCCTAGGTGCACGGGAGCAGGAAAACGCACTCAAACCGTTTGCGCCTGCTGCAACTGCTAGCCTGCCGTGGGACTCCTTGAGACACCCCAATCCCGAAACGGTCTAGAATTTTCCTGCTTGGCAATTTCATTTGGTGAAAACAAAGCAAAAGGGAGCCAGGAGGATGAGCCAGCGAGCAAGATTGGCTGAGTTCCCATGCAAACGAAACGAAACAGAAGCAACGGATCGTGTTGGGTCACAATTAACGGCAAGCCAAGACAAACATAAGCATGATCACCCTTTGGCCACATAGGGATCTAGGCGGATGACTGTTTCCAAAAACTTTAAGAGGCTAGAGACCTTCAGATTCACCAAATGTCGAATTGCTGGGCCCTCGCCTCACAAGAGCCGCTGGAGCGCGCTAAGCATTTGGGACTTGAAACGGCGCCTGTGTATGTTGTATGATTCCTGGAGCTAGAAAAATTGGACGCAACGCTGATAGAAAAAGAGCGCGTACATCTAAGCGCATCCCCACAATTTGCAACCCTGAAGCAAGAGATCTGTTCGCAACTCAGTCACGCTCGCTTTCGCAACTGAGCTCCTTACTCCCTAGTGAGGAACCTGAATGGATACATTTGTCTTCCCAAGAGAACCGCTCGAAACAACTACGCAAATGCACAAACTTCCACACTACACCCCAGGAACACTCGAGCACAGGCCACTTCCTTTATCGAAAACTGGAAAACCAAGCAACAAGCACGCACGAGGTCCCGCTTCAAAGCCTTTTTCCTTGGGCTCAGCGCAACTTGTCAAAAGCCACGCGCTCCTGGCGCAAGATTGATCTCCACTGCGTTCGCTTGAAAGTCTGGGTTTTTTCACCGGTCGAAATGAGCGTGCCTTTCCTGTGGAGGCATCAAGCTGCCGAGAACTGCCCTTCACCCATGCTGCGACGAGCTCGCTAGCCGGCCGCGGTGCTAGCGCCATTGCCAAGCATGTGCGAAGTTGCGACGTGCCGGGAAGCTGTGAGCAAAACACTCACGCATTTCGCTGAAGATCTGCGAGGTCACACTCGCTGGTTGAACACCCAGCCCACAGCTCATCCAGGCGACAGCAGGGTTGAAAGGCCTCTTGCATGGATCCATCTCGTAAAACGAAGCGCCAGCACCTTTGTTTGCTGCGCCTAGAGTGAGCAGCGCCGCCTGCTTTTGTTGCGGCGCTTGCGCCTGCCTTTGCCCTTTACCGCCCGCAGCTGCTGGTGCGATCGCCTTCTCGACCCTCTTGGCGGCCATCGTGCCGCTTGCCCCCGGTCAGGTGAGTCGCGGCTGCCCTCTCGAGCGCGCTGCGGCACACGCGTCACAACCAATACCCTTGTTTGCGATTTGAATGCCCCTGTCGACCGCCTGGGCGACAGGCGCATCAAAGTCATTGCTAACGGCTTGCCCCTGTGGAACGGAGCCCGGCTTGCAGTCGATACGACCGTCGTGTCGCCCCTCACGCGTGATGGCTCTCGGCCGACTGGGCTTCGTGGGCGGACACGCTGCCGGTGCTGCAGCGCCAACTGCCGCGTTTGGCGGACGAGATCCTTGCCAGGCTCCACGCCCAGGAGCCTTCTGGGCCCGCACTGCTGGGCGTCCTGCGATCCCACGAGGCGTTCACCGCGACT